ACCCGTGGAGTATGGGTCAATCTGAAATGGCTGCTCGTGCCCTTTATCTGAAAGCTGCACCAGCACTTTAGGAAAGTGGATTTATGGATTTTAGGATAACCGAACTGTTTTGGTATGATGGATTTTAATTGCACTTTTATGCATTGGTGTAAGCCGCCCTGAGCCTGCCTTGGTAGGGAGGGCGGGGTATAAATCGAATAAAATAAATAAATAAATAAATCCTATTATAACAGATAACTACATTTCTTATCAGAATGTTTTTAAAGGTTATACTAATAATGGTAGACAATTGCTCAGGCACCTTCCACCTTCACTGAAGAACTGGCTGCATGAAAAAAGTAGTATTTGGAATCCCAGTCTGAATGGGTTAACATCAGAAGTATAAACCAGACAAACTCCCAAGGTGTATGCTGTATCTCTGAAGTACAGATCAAAATCCTGAAGAAAAATTGCAGATAAAAAGTCCTGAAATACATATCCATAAAATCAAAGCTTTGCTAAGCAAATAACAAATAAAACTGGAAACTCTCTTTCCAGAAACCTTAAATCACATTGACAGTTACAATATGTGTACAGCATCTAAAAAAACAAAACAAAAAAACCCCTTCCTACTTTCAAGTCAAAAATGCACTAGCCTGTATCTCCTTCAAATACATTGGTTTTATTTTACCAAAAACACAAAACAAACAAAAACAGGAAAATGCGACCCCTCAAAAGGGGGGTGGGGGAATACTTTAAATTCAAAGTTGTAGGAACCGAAGAATCAGTTAACATGTGGGAGTTTTGTAGTGGAACTTAAATCATTTCTTCACCTTATAGGAATTATGGTCCCTATAACATTCTAGGGTAGATTATTCTGTGCTGCAGTATGGGAAAGGACTCTGTTATGATGCATAGCTATGCAATTTCAAGGATGTCTTGGAACTATTCTATAAGAATAAAACCTCCCAATGTTTCCCCTCATATTTCATGGGCATACAAGATCAAGTGAATTCAATGGGGATTGTAAATCCTTTCCCTTCCCCTCCCCACAACAGACACCCTGTGAGGTGGGTGGGTCTGAGAGAGCTCTTGACAGAAATGGCTCTTTTTCAAGAACAGCTCTTATCAGAACTACGGCTTTCCCAAGGCCATCCAGCCAGGTGCAAATGGAGGAGTTGGGGAATCAAACCCAGTTCTCCCAGATTAGAGTCCGCGCACTCAACCACTACACCAGACTGGCTCCTGAGTTTAGAGATGTACCTATCCAAGGAGTAGAATGCGGGGTGGTTGGCAAGAACATGTGACTGCTGGCCGGTTTGGTGTTGTGGTTAAGTGCACAGACTCTAATCTGGGGGAACCGGGTTTGATTCCCCACTCCTCTACTTGCAGCTGCTGGTGTGACCTTGGGCAAGCCATAGTTCTCTCAGAGCTGTTCTCTCAAGGACAGTTCTGGAAAGAGCTCTCTCAGCCCCACCTACCTCACAGGGTGTCTGTTGTGGGGAGGGGAAGGGAAAGGAGATTGTAAGCCGCTCGGAGACTCCGAGTGAAGGGCAGGGTATAAATCCAATATTTTCTTCTTCTTCTTTCTTCTTCTTTCTTCTTCTTTGGAAAGCCAGCACAGGAAGGATTACAGTGTGAAGGCAGAACCCCAAATACCAAAATCGCACCATAATAAGACGCTACATAAATAAATATTAATTGCAAAAATATATAAAACTTTAAAGACTGAATAAATTACGAAGTCAAAGGTAAGTACAGGTTTGTAAAGCATAAGCATCACTATAAACCAATTTTAGAGGCAAGGTCAGTCCCAGATTGTGGGAACTTCAAAAAAGATCATCGATCAGTGAAGAATCAGTCTCCTGATTGGTGGTTCTTCCCTGATGCTGGAGTGCTAATTCCTCATTGATTGATGGTCTTTTCTGAAGTTTCCACAATTTGGGACTTACCTTCCCTTTAAAATGGGTTTAAGAGGTTTATGCTTTACAAATCTGTACTAACCTTGACTTTGTCATTTATTCCGTCTTTAAAGTTTTATGTATTTTGCAATTGATATTTATTTATTTAGCGTCTTACTACAGGGTTGTTGTTGTTCTTTAATTTTTGGTCACTGAAAACCAGAAGATGAGATTCGACCTAGCCAAATATCTTTGCCGTTCCGTTGGCAGGATTCTGCGCCCACATTGGGTGAATAACCTGTGGAACTGCTTGCCACAATATTTTGTTGATAGTCACTTAAAGGAGGAGGGTTTTTAAATAGCTGACAAGAAAGCAGTCAAACGGTATCGGAGGGAGTTGCCCGCGTGAGCTGTAAAACTGGCCGAGTTTCAGCCTCACATCTCAAAGGTCAATTAAATCCTCATTTACTTTACGTTTAAAGATGTACCCTTCATTGACCTACGCTGCGTAATCTGCCTTGAGTCTCAAGGCAGCTTACAACAGAGATAAAACACATAAAATTAAATACACACACACACACACACATATATATATAAACCCAAACCCGAACTTTAAAGTCACAGTTCAGGTCTGCTAGTAAACATAATCAAATATGGTCCTCAATAAAACCATTTCATTAGTTGCTGTAGATTTTCCGGGTTGTGTGGCCTTGGTCTTGGCATTGTAGGACCTGACGTTTCGCCAGTAACTGTGACTGGCATCTTCAGAGGTATAACACAGAAAGACGGAGTACTCTCTGTGGCAAGGTGAGAAGAAAAATGGCAGGCAGGTAATTGATATCTACTCCGGAAGGTGGGGTAGGGCTGAGTCATTATCTTGTAGGAGTTCCCCAGGCTGTGAACATGCTAATAGAGGAGCTTTCCTGAGGAGGTTCTTTTGTATATGGATTGGCTGTTTCCTGAGGAGGTTCTTTTGTATATGGATTGGCTGTTTCCTGAGGAGGTTCTTTTGTATGTGGATTGGCTGTTGAAATTCTAATCTTATCTGTAGTGCTGTTGTCAGACGTAGAGCCTTTTGTGTTTTTCAGGACTGGAAACCATGCCCTCTTTATTTTTAAACTCTCCTCTTTCCTGTTGAAATTGTGTTTATGTTCATGAATTTCAATGGCTTCCCTGTGTAATCTGACCTGGTAATTGGATGTGTTGTCCAGCCTTTCAGTGTCTTGGAACAAGATACTGTGTCCTGTTTGAGTTAGGCTATGTTCAGCCACTGCTGATTTTTCAGATTGGCCCAGTCTGCAGTGTCTTTCATGTTCTTTTATTCTTCTCTGGATGCTACGCTGCATTTCAGCTGCCTCCTGAAGACTGAAAGTGGGGGGCGGGAGGGGGCACACCTCCCTGGGGAGGCTGTTCTGTAATTGTGGGGCTGCCACCAAAAAGGCCCTGTCTGTTGTACCCACCAAACGAGCGTCTCTGATTGATGGGACAGTCGGGAGGGCCTCTCCCCGTGATCCTAACTCCTGGCCAGGAAAACACAAAATGACATACCTAAATGAATCGAAACCACAAATCATTCCTTCAAAAAGAGAGAGACTTTGATTGACATCAGGTTCCATCAGGTCCCGAAGAGGCGGAGACGTTCCAGATCGAGATGAGCGGCCTGCTCGGCGAACTGCGTTGCCCGTACCCCTCGCTGACGACGGGGGACGTGACCAGCAGGCTCCACACACCGGAGAACTGCCTCCAGCTTCTCTGTGAGTCCGTGCAAGGATTGGCTTTCTCGGGCTTTTCCCGTGCGCAGAACAGGCAGGAGGGGGAAGAGCTCCGAGCGGAGGGGTCGGGGTCCGTGCGGGGCTGGTTCTGGGGCCAAGCAACTGACCGGGGGCGGCATATAGAGGAGAGGGTGCTGATAGACCACGGGGTGCTGGGCTCACTTGCAGCCTGTCAGTGGCAGACCGGAGTCACCTCTTACAGCCGTTAGTGGCAGACCGGCGTCACTTCCTAGGTCTGCGCTGCTGCAGTCCTAGTTTGAGCCAAGCTCCACCTCTTGTGTGCCACCCCTGGGTGCTTTTTGGAAAAGTGGGCAGGAGGGAAGGATAGGCATGATTTTGTCTCTGGCAAGCCCCTTAATCTCTACGGACAGCCGTCCGGGCTGAACTGGTGATCCCGCGGGAATCCAGCCTGAACCTGCTACGAGTGTTTTGAGTCTGAACAGACTATACACACACACACACACACATATATATATATACATACACACACACATACATACACATACACAAATATTTATTAAGGTGTACACATAAATGAAACATTTGTTGTTGTTCAGTCGCACAGTCGAGTCCGACTCTTCGCGACCCCATGGACCAGATCCCGCCAGGCCCTCCTGTCTTCCACCGTCCTCTGAAGTTGGCTCAATTTCATGTTCGTTGCATCTATGACACTGTCTAACCATCTCCTCCTTTGCCGTCCCCTTCTTCTTTGACCTTCAATCTTTCCCAACATCAGGGTCTTCTCCATTCCAGTGAGTGCTCCCTTCTCATTGGGTGGCCAAAGTATTTGAACTTCAGTTTCATTATCTGGCCTTTCAGGGAACAGTCAGGGTTGATTTCTTTTAGGATTGACTGATTTGATCTCCTTGCAGTCCAAGGGACTCTCAAGAGTCTTCTCCAGCACCCTAGTTCAAAAGAATCTATTCTTCGGTGCTCGGCCTTCCTTATAGTCCAACTCTCGCAGCCATACATGACTACTGGGAATACCATTGCTTTGACCATGTGGACATTTGTTGGCAGGGTGATGTCTCTACTTTTTATCATGCTGTTTAGGTTCGCCATCGCTTTCCTCCCAAGGAGCAGGCAACTTTTAATTTCATGGCTGCTGTCACAGTCTGCGGTGATC